ATGGGCTCCTCAATCTAGCAGAGAAAGCTATAACATGATCTAATGAAAGCTAGCCAAATTCAGTCTGGAAATAAGGAATACATTTTTGACAGTGAGGATAACCAGTAGAACAATTTACCAAGGGTCATGGTGGATTCTCCATCACTGACAATTTTTAAATCAAAATTGGATTTTCTAAAAGAGCAGTTCTACGAATTATTTTGGGGAAGTTCTGTGGCTTGTATTACATAGGAGGTCTGACTAGATGATCACAATGGCCCTTACTGGCCTGGGAGTCTCTGAGTTGACCTTTTGTATGAAGCAAAAGCAAGCCAAAGGAAAACCAAGTCTTACTCAGCCACTTCTCTATTTATATTTTGTCAAATTACTTCAGAAAAGGGACCTGAGAACTAGGATCTAACAGAAACAAACATCTTGATAACCAGCAGCTATTTTTTTTTTATTTCTAATGGTGCTTTGGTTAGCATCATCAGGAAGTTCATGGCCCAATCATAAATAGCCATTAGTGAATAGATTGTGCTAAAATATTGACCATTCACTTTCTGTTAAAAACAAAAAATGCTTATAATCTTTAAAGTATTCCATCTAAAAAGTCACTACATTTATAGATGTACTAATACAGCATGCCTGAACTGACAAACAGCCTGGCTTTGTGAACCTAACACTAGAAGTATCCATCCCCACCATCTCTACATTTTTGTTCTTCAAATAGTGCCACCTGGTGTATATTGCAAGTATCAAATCTATTTGAAATTAATTCAGAGACTAAGGGCTTGTCTTCACTACCCGCCCGGATCGGCAGGTAGAAATCAATCTCTCGGGGATCGATTTATTGCGTCTCGTCGGGATGCGATAATCGATCTCCGAATCGACGCGTGTGCTGCACCAGCCCAGGTAGGAGTAAGCGCCGTCGACGGGGGAGCTGCTGCGGTCGATTTGCCACCGTCCTCACAGCAAGGTAAGTCGGATCAGATACGTCAAATTCAGCTACGCTATTCCCGTAGCTGAATTTGCGTATCTGAAATCGATCCCCCCCCCCCTGTAGTGTAGACGTAGCCTAAGCATTCAGATTATTCTTCAGGAATTAAAGGAAACACTGCAAAGGTTGAACTCTGGAGTCTAATTAATGGCAAAATATTTAAAATGCATGTTCCAAATAACTGGGCATGAGAGGACTTTTCTAAACTTTAGGTTGGGGGGATGGGGAGGAAAAACAAGGACAGATCTCCAGCTAGGCATCATAAAGTTCAGACCCACTCTGGCACCAAGAAACTAGTTTTGCGAAGGTGGTCAAACAGGACCACATTTTGAGAAGTAACCTCTAATCCTGCATTCTCAAAACAGCACATGCATCTTTTTGTACATACAAAAGCCATATTCCTGTAGGAAAATAGACATTTGGAAATGATGCAATTGTGCATCTAGCTACCTGCTGATTTCTGTGCACAAATAGCCACTTTCAAAATACCCGTTTTACTCACACAAGCAGACATATATAGCCAAGTCTTGGGACCATGTAAAAATTAGGCCCACTCTGTCAGGGAGCTGGGCACAGTTTCTGAGTCTCTGCCTTAGCCATGGCACAGGTTAGCTGCAGGGGTTAATGGCATAAGAACACTGCTGGATTGCGGGCAGCAAGTGACCTCTAAAAACTGACCACCTACATGCCAGAGTCCTGGGTATACACATTATTTTAGGTGTATTGGAATTAGAATTTATACACCCCCCAAAGCAAACACACAAATAAAATAAACTCTGTTTTGATTCTCCCTTTTCTTTCACCCCACTTCTACTGTTTGGGGTAGATCCTAAACTGTAGCCAATATACAGTACAGCTGAACAGGAGTTGGAGGGCAAAGGTCATTCCACTCCAGCATAATTTAGAGCACAATCTTGTAGCTACTTATGACCCCAACTTGGTCTGTTCACTTGTTGATATGTAGGCAGAAAGTTTGGCTTATATGTGAGAACAGACAGTATTTCCAAGAAGGATTAGCATAATTAAAAGATGGGAGAAAGTGCTCCTCATTTTAATAAGATACTCCTGGTAGAGAAATCTAAGCAATCTCCTAACATGTTCTTTGTGGAAGAGCACAGCAAAGAAGTCAGGGAGTTCCCAGGCAATCTCAGGCCAGCCAAGACATGATGTGACAAGGTTTCCTATGAAATATAAACATTTCAATGATGCATGAAACATCTGGATTTATCTGTAACACAGATATATTTAGAGATACCAAAATGCAACAAGGTTAAGACTGTTAAAAAAGTAAAGTAATTCATTCTGACTAATTGCAAAAATTTATATGTATATAAAAAGGAAATATTTTCAACCATCAATATGCCCTAACTAACAAGCCTCCAGGAGGTTTGACTAGAGAACGGTTCACAGCATTTATAGCTGTTAAAAGTACTTCTCACTGTGTAGCTGGAAAAACAGCAAATCTTCAGGTGGCAAAATATACAAGATGCCTTTTGGTTTTGCTTGCAAACTCTAGGGGTCTGACACTCCACTGATTTTACCTCAGTAGAGGTATTAAAATGGAGATTCAGGAAGTTAAAATGGGAAGTTTGGTGCTTCTATTCTTTGGCAAAACAGCCCTCATTTGCATTGAAAACTATGGGTGCCTCCATTTGCCAAGCAAGCCATAAACTCTCGCACAATTCATATTCTTTTGATCAATAGATTACAAACATGAAGTGCCCTTGAGGGAAATCTACGAACCTCAGCGGGGCTATCCTACCAAGACCTCAAAATAGAACTTCAGTGATGCATAACCCTTGTACTGGCCCTCTGCACAGTGCTGGATTTCACCCACAATGCACACTTTGGTAGACAGCACTTGCTATGGAAATCTGCCCCATTCCCTTCATATCTTAACACCTACACAGTGTGTGTTGAGGCCACTCTCCTCCATAAATCACTGCCTAAATGATCTGGATGACCAGGCAGGGCAAGAGCCTCAGCCAATGTAAGTCAGCACAGCTCTGTTATATTAAAAGGAACTAAGCTGACTTGCATTAGCTGAGGACCTGGCCCACACAGTGCAGCCTCCCTTTACTCAGAACTGTGGTAAGAAGTGCAAATAATCAGATCCCAATTACTGAATATGCACCAAAGGTGTTTTTTCAAATCCTCCTCAATCTGCGTAATCAAAACCAGTTTTCACCACGATGCTCAGAGGCTCAACTACTTTATGAGGGCTATTTTCTTCAGAAAATGTCTTTCTAGCCTTAGCCCATTTTGGTATTTAATTTGCTAAGTAATAAAATTTAAAAAAAATTTTGTTATAAAGGTAATGTTTCCACCCTGCTGTACCCTGAACCTCAAAATTGGCAGATTTGTTTGTCCTCATATTTTTAATAAAATAATTAAAAATATATCTTTCAGAAACAGAGGCCTGAGAAACTGGGAAGTTAGTGTTTCCACAAAACAGGCTCCCCTCCCCACATTTGATTTTAAACTGAAGTTGCTTCAGTTGTTCGACGCTGATAATGAAAATGCAATTGAAAGGAGAATGGTGAAAGAAAAACACATAAGCAATTGCAATTTTGCATGCTCAAAAGTGTTTAAGTAAACAAAACAAACCAACAAAAACCTTCTGCATAGAGGAAATGGAACAGGGAAGAAGTTGTTTTCTTTTTATGCAAACATAATTCTTGGGTTGGCTTTATGAATTACTTCTCAAAACAAGCAATTACATTATTATTTGCACATAAATTAGTATCAAGCACTACTATTTAGCAGAGCAATGTTAAATTACAAGGACTTATTCAAATACCTGGCAGGCCTTCAGATTTATTTTTTTAGTGATAGTACAATAATTCCCTACCTCAAATCTGCCTGTAATGTACTTCACCAGCTACTCTGCAGCAACACATTGATTGCCTTTCATATCTTTTTCCTTGTAGCTGAAATCAAGATGCAATACCAAAGCCCTAATATTGCCACTCAGCACTGTATTGACTTATCACACTTTCATCATGTTTCCCCTAGTTCCATCGCTGAGTAATGGTGCATCACATGGTGTCACATTGGGTTAGTGTGTATGAACATTGGCAAGATGAAAGATGACATGAACATGCTCAGTGCAAAACATTAAACATACAGGGACACATCAAACGTTAAGAACCTTTTGATTAAATAGGACTTTTCCAAATTGAACGGTGAACATCTACTCACAAGAAATCGAGGTGGAGAACAGTGCAATTAATAATTAGAATGTATTGAAGGTTGTTTAATGCACAGATACATTCCTACAGGGATACAAATATTTTAAATCCGGATGCCTAACGTTTGTCTAAAAATTTATGTCTCCACAGTTACCCATTTGTATACACAATCACCGTTGGTATAGAAATGCTTGTTTGCATGCATGTGGATTTTGCTCATTTTGAGCATATGTATTTTGTGGAGGCAGTTTAGGGATCCTTATGTGAAAATATGGCCCTTCTAGTCTATTTGCTTACTCGGTCTCAATCAATATTTCAAATAAAGTGTTTTAACATTATCAGAGCTTCTGAAAGGATAAATTACAGTAGTAGGTCCAAATAGTACACTTGTGCAGTATACTTTTGTGGACATAAGGCCAAATTCTGTGCTAGAGTAAATGGGCACAGATAGATTTACTTCAATAGGTTTTGCTCATTTACTCATTTAGAAATGTAATGTGCCATCACTGATATTCTTTTTCCTGGTGGTTCTGAAAATATTAACCATTTCCCATCTCCATTTCAACACTGGTACAAGTATTGTGTTTGTATAGTCCTTAGAAACGCCAGTGCTGCTGAGAAGATGAGTTCAGCGTGAAGAAATCCCCAAAACTCACATGGAATCTAAGCGGCATATTTTTAAATATTAAAGTGACACTGGAGTTCAGTTAATAAAACAACTCATTATAAGCACTAAATTGTAGAATACATTTTCAGCTTCAGATGCATAACTGCAGCCTCTCTATGCTGCTGTGGAAAACACATTAAGGTTATTCATTGGGGTTGAGTACCTGAAGGAGAAGGCTGTCCTTTTACTACTCCATTTTTAGTTTTTTCTTCAGAATTCATTACTTCCTTGTAGATCAATTCTGTGAGAGACAATTGATGCAGTTATGAAAGTAGCTAGTTCTTGTGCCCATGAACAACTTAATGCTATAAACTGCTAAATCAGTCACTCTCTCTCTCTTCTCTCCCCCACCAATTATCCCTCCCCCCCATCCTTGTTCCTGCTGCTGGAGCCATTCAGGCAGTTTTGGCATGTCCTCTATCACTTTAGTAACAGTGAAAGGAACAGGACTGTTGTAACTGAGCTCACATTCCACGTCTTCTGGCACTGCAAAATAGACTTGAGCACAGCAAACTCGGTGTGCTGAATTAAGGTAACATAAGACTCTTCTTTCTGTGTACCAAAATTAAGCCACAAACACACTAGGGAGTTTTAAAACATTTATGCAATGCATTATAATGATTTAACACTGGCCGCATGGGCCAGTCTTTAAAACATACGAACTGGGAATGAAGCTAAACCTTTCCAGATGATTATGTAATAAAAGAATGCAAGCATTAAACCAACATTTTTCCATGCCTGCTTGCTGCCTGTGTAACCATTTCCCATTTGTTTTTGCTGGTTTCTTTTTATTTCTCACACTTAGCCCTCTTTTCTCCTACCTGAGAGGAAGAGAGTTTAAGAGCATTCTACCAGCCTTCCACAATCTCATTTGCCTACTTGATCTTTAGCTAGTCTTTCCGCTCTATCTGTCTAAGTTTGCTTTTTGTGTGTGTGCTTTTTAGACATACACCTCTACCCTGATATAATGCTGTCCTCGGGAGCCAAAAAATCTTACCGCGTTATAGGTGAAACCGTGTTATATCGAACTTGCTTCGATCTGCCAGAGCGCGCAGCCCTGTCCCCCCAGAGCACTGCTTTACCACGTTATATCCGAATTCGTGTTATATCGGGTCGTGTTATATTGGGGTAGAGGTGTATATAGGAGAGTATAATAGCTAAGCTGCTTTAACGTTGCATTATCCAGAAATAGGGCTGGCACAATAACTTTAATGCTGTTTATCATGGGCCAGATTCTGACACCTTACCCCTGTTGAATAGTACCTTATTCTCCGAATAGTGTCCTTGACTTCATTGAGTATCAGAATCTGGCCCTATGGTCTTTGCTAAACAGTACCTGGTGTATCAGGCAATAAGTTCTATAATGTACAGGCCTATTTCTGTCATCCTTACCCATGTCACACAAGTAGCCCCCATGAAATCAATGCATCTATTCACACAGTAAGGCACTACTCAATATAAGTAAAGATAACAAAATTAGGCCCATGATGAGCAATGCCATGTGGTTTCAAATGAGTATGGAACTCCTTTCTATTTCCTGCCCTGAATGGTTGTATAGTGTGAGGGTACTGTTAAAACAACTGTGACTCTCCAAACCCGAGACGGCTGTATTTCAGCAGCGAATGGACTGAATCCCAGGGTTGGTTAAATTTGTAGAGCATCCTTTGGGATGAAATTCACCTGTATGCAGTGGGACCAACTTGAGGCTTTATGTACCCCTTTAAACCCTATTTATGACCTTGTGGTGGTCCCTTGCATAGGGCAGAAATTTCACCCTATAGAACTGTCATCATCAGGCTCTGACCTACTGTAAAACAGAATTTGTTCACAGATCAAATATACTACTTATTGATGGTGTTTTTAAATCCTTTGGAGACTACAGGTGTAACTCTAGAAGCCTCTTCTACATTTACGAACAAAGTATCAGTACACAGGGCTAAACTGACTTCAAAGAAGTTATTCTGGATTTGTACTGCTACATCTGAGAGCAGATTTGGTCCATATACCATATATCTTTAAAATGGGATTACCTTTCCATTCCTCAATCGTATGTTCTCTTTCATCCAGCTGTTTATCATATATCTGAGGAGGAGGCTGTAAAGTAGAAACAAAGATCTGTCAACAGGCTATTCCTTTATATTAGTAAGTAAATACATAGTAAGAATTTCTGAATGTTTTTATATTTGATCATTAAAGGGATAAAATTCCTGGAAATCAGCAGCTCATATAAAAGAACCAGTCTGCTTGTTCTCTCACTCCACCCCGCACCTGTAGTAAGTACCCCTGCAGCTGAATAATATCATATCCTGAAAGCCATGCCATACTGCCCTGCAATGATGTTATTCAAATAATCAACACTGGCAGGAATGACGTTGCAGCATCAGCCAAAATCTGCATTCCTGATGCTGGAATATTTAACCAGAATACAGTGTTTAAAGGCAAGGCTTCAGGAATTCAGCCAAGAGCAGAGAAGTAACAACTGGGAGGGGTCCAGGTGGCAACAGACCTGCCTTACCTGTGGACTCGACATTTTGATTTATCTGAGAGGCATTCAGGTATGCTGAAAGGCAGCATGGTCTAATAGTTACAGCATGAGACTGGGAACCAGGAGCTTTTGAACTTTACTCTTGACTCCCTCGATGGCCTTGGCAAAGTCATTTGACCTCTCTGCCTCATTTTCCCATCTGTAAAATGGGATGAATAGTACTCACCTGCCTGACCTGAGTGTTGCGCAGGTTAATTACTGAATGCCATGAAGATGTAAAGTCTGATAAAAATGTGAAATGTTATCTGAGATTTTTCAAACCCCGTTAGCAGATTTTATCTGCAAACCAAGATGACTTTAGGAAAGTCACACTTTTTTTCCCTCTTCTCATTGTCTCTTTGTGCCCAAACCCACTTCCCCAGGAAAAGAGAGGTTGCCCACAAGGATTCTGCAAATTGGTACGGTATTCAGTTTCCAAGCAACACCTTAAACGGTGAATTCATAATCTCCAGTCATTATACAGTCAAAATTGTCAGAGTCTTGTGTAACTCTCCTTCCCCAGGCAGAACAATTTGGCCCTGGGGAGGGACAGTTAGCCAGCCGTGTAAGTACTGCTGGCCTTTTCAACAGAGATTGCATCCCCAGCATCAGCTTCCATGGCTGCAGAGCCCAAGTGGATCATGGGCTCTGCACGGCTGGTTCTGCACAGCTGAAGCCTCTGGGCCCATGATTTGTCCATGATGTGAATTCCCTACCATCTTCATTCCATACCCCAGTGTAGATATGTAAGAATAATGGATTGTTTGGTTTGCTGACAATTCCCCCTCTCCCACCAATAAAAATATATAATGGTTTGGGCTTAACCTGAAAATGTATTTTTTAATTTTTTCAGCACATAAAAATTAATTTCAGATTGAATAAATGTTTCGTTATGACAGAAATCAAAAAGTTTTGCTTTGATTTCAACCATTTAAAAATTGATTTTTTAAAAATCAAATTAAAGAAAATTTCAAAATAAAGAGTCATTTCGTTTCAAACGTGTCAGAATGAAACTCTTCAATTTGTCAGATTTTTTTTAAGTTTGTGGGGTTCCCCCAAAAAATAAATTTGGCAAAACCAACACAAATTCACAAAATATTTCAGTGTCACCAAATCTACATTTTTTTTTTGCCAAAAAATGTTTTGGCTGAATAATTTTGCCCAGCTCTACCCTAATGGTCTAGAAAAACAAAGAAAGCAATCATAAGAAATCCATGAGAATTATCAATGTGATGAATCTAGTCTGGATTTGATTCACACATTCATCCAGCATTTTTGCCACATGTATCTTTCTAAAGAAACAAAGGCTGGATTTGGGATATTTAAAATGGCTGCTGCCACACGGTAGAAGCTGTTTTAACTATAACCCAACCAGCCCAACTAATCCCTCTTACTCCACACTCCTCTTGCCTGGTAGTTTCACCTCAGAGAGGCTTTTTTAATTGCTGAGATCCTCTCCAGCCTCCCTTTCTGATCCCAAACACTCTCTCCCACCAAATCCTTCTTAACACCCTGCCTGCCCCAAATGCTCCCCCATTATGAAACTCTCCTGCCAACCGCCCTGACAACAGAGACAACTTCCCAGGGACCTTCTTTCTCTTCTCTTCCTTTCTGCTGTGGCACTTTTCATCACTCTCCTCAGCCTCAAGGACCCTCTCCCCTTCAATATGTGAAATCCATCCTCAGTATCAAAGAGGCCAGATACACAGGGTGCAATGACTCCCAACACTATGGAACTGCGAGATTAATAACCATTGTACGCCATCAGATACAGGTTGTGCTGTCTAGCATCTGTAGTTCAGTATGGGGAGTGGGTAAAATAGATACCCTTTCATCCCCAAGCTCTCTCTAACACATGTTCAGTTGTCATTCACTGAGAAAGCAGAGCTTTGCTGCAAACACCTAGGGAAGGATGAATCTGTTGGATGAATTAGCCAGGAACAGGAACAGCACCCCACCTAAAGCCACAATTGGCTGTGGCAGAGGCCCAGTGTCCCAACTTGGACAGCTGCTGGGGTTGCAATTGGTTGGGTCAATGGATCCATGAGCTGACTGGATTTTCCCCCAATAAGCTGCCTAGAAGAGAGACCATGGGTGCAAGGGAGGTTCCTTTAATTCCTTCTTGCAGCCTACTCAATATCATACTTTTCTAAGTAATGTAGCAGTACCAGCCTTCTCGACTAGCTGATGACCTACTACGAATTGGGTCCAATCCCAACCTGCTGCTGACCCCATTGCCTCCCTTTATCAAGGTTCTTAGGATCATCAATATAGAGCCCAGGATGAGCTGGGAGAATGGGCATCCTTGTTCACCAGTACCTTCAGGAGTTTCCAGGTGCATCACGGGAAGGCGACCATTGTGTTCCTATCAGGACTATCCAGTACCAACCACACAGTCACTGGGTTCATGATATCTGATTTTGAGGCCATCATTCCAACAGAGGCTCTGCTTGCAGCAGAAGCAGCTGAGGGTGTCAAAGGAAAGTACGGCAGAGTGACCACTGTGGAGGTGCAGGAGCGGGTGAGTGCAGTAGAAGGGACCATCTACTGTACGGGTGCTCCTCATGCACAATGGCCCAATCCAAAGCCCACTGGAGACAATGAAAGATTAACTTCAAAGGGTTTTGATTAGGGCTAGAGGTCAGAGAAACTCCTGTATCTTTGTTCTATCATAGACGAAGACCTGCATCTCCAGGTCTCGTTAGTCAGGGCAGGTAACGAGAGCTAGCTGCTTGGAGGCCACTGAAGAGGTGACTGTGGCAGGGAGAGATCCTTAAGCAACTCACACAGCTTCTCTATAAGTGACAGCTGCATTTGCTGCAAGGCTGTGGGTGGGAGATGAGCTTTGCAACCATAACTCTGTCCCCTCGTGCATATGTATTATGATACACATTTTTTCTTCATATATTTCTCAAATAGTCTAAAACAGACAAACATACAGTGTAACATCAGATAATGCTCCTAATTTAGATACATGTGAGTCGTATTTTCTATTACTGGGTTTGTGCCAGAGGAACAGAGTCCATGGAAGACTTTTCTACGCAAAGAGCCATTGCCTTATCTGCTGCATGCCACACAGTATACACAGTGAATGATTCAACAGCAGTGCCTTTTTCAATGGACACTTGAAGCCTTCCCTCATTCAGTGTGCGCTTTACTCCATGGTATATGAAGCAAGGCTTTTACAGGATTGCCAGGTCTACATGCAGGTACGCCGAAGCTATACTTCAGGAGAGTTGTCCGTGACCTGAGGTGAGGTCTGAAGTACCTAAACAGATTTGGTTGTGGCCTGTGAGGAGGCCACAGTGCCTCAAGGAGGTGGCCAGGTTGGAGCCTAAGCCACATGGTGAAGGGGGAACAGTGTCTTGGCAGCTTTGGCTGTGACCTGCAACGGGGCTCTGCTGTCTCAGCAGGTGACGAGTGCAGATCAGATAAGAGCTTTTGACTATATGGAATGATGTTATTGTTAATAAAACCATGACCTTTCGTTTTCCACACAAACACATCTCTGTCCCTTATTACAGCCTGGCCTGCAGCAGCTAATCACCCTGAAGCTGGTGCTAGATTCAGCCAAAGCCACTGAAATCCCTGCTGGAGACATCTTTTTCCTGCTGATCATGGCATTGTGAAGCTCACTACTCAACCTAAGAATGAGAATTCTAGCCTCGTCAGTGACAACGGGAATGCTGTGAACCAGGGTCCTCCAGATCAGCACGCCTGACAGACTGTCGCTCAGCCAGCCTGCCAGCCCTAGAGCATGCATTCTCTAATGAGGAAGTGCGGAGAGCACATGGGGAGAAGAGACAGACAAGGAAACCCTCGAGGTCTATGAATTCACACAAGAGCTACAGCGGCTGTCTGCTTCATTAAACAGCTGGCTCTAGGTTTTGGGTGGTGGTTGCAGGGGGATACATTTGCCTGAGCTGTAGTCTGAATCACACCAGCAGAACTATTGTGTCTCTGTCAGAGAGACCAGAGCAAAGCAGAGAAGAGAAATTGGGAGAGAATATCCTATGATTATCTTCCTTTCTAAAGAGCTCTGGGGAACAGCTTGCAAAGAACACAGGCAGTGGTTAAAATAGATTGTAACAGGCAGGGAAGCTCTTCCCATGCCATCCAAGGAGAAGGAGGAGTGATGCTCCCCCAGGTGAGGGAGAACAGAGGGGACTCTCCGTCTATTTTAAAGCATGGAATTAAGGAGTAAAAAGGAACGGGTGTTCTCAAACACATTATCTGTCCCACCTCCTCATACAATCAACATATCTTTGGCTAGTGTCTCTGCTAATCTACACCACCCGATGTCTCAAGCAGGCAGCTTTAGTTAATGTAAGAGGCTACAAGAATAGCAGCAATAATTATTTTACAGATCAACACACTCCGGGAATTGAAGTATTTTTGGGGGATCAGGCACAACCTAATCTAACCCACAATCAAATACCTATTTAGCTAGCAAGGTAGTCAAACATAAGTGACTAAACTCCAGATTTCACACTACTAGGGTTCCAGATACTCCAGCCGGTTCACCTGTTCCAATGCTGTATCAGCAGTTACATTACTAACCTCTATTTTTAGAATTTTAGAACTCTGCTATAAAATTTAGCTCTTGGCAGAAACTTGGCTAATATTCAGTGTGACGATAAGATATTAAGCTTGTGATTCCCATTAGCATTAGTGGGAATCACATGTGAATCCCTGATCATTATGCAGAACATTTACTCTACAATCTGCATAGTGTCTGCAGCGTATGGGTGAATTCAACGGGGCTACATAGGGGTGCAGGGCTCTGCCCATGGGAATTCCATTTGCAGGATCTAGCCCTAAGAATGAAAACTATGGGCCAGATTGTAGAGTGGCCACATGTAGAGTAACACGTTTACTCCAAAAATGGCCTCCTTCATTTCAGTGGGACTGCAAGGGGGAGATTTGCAGAAGGCATACAGGGAGTTAAGACACCCAGCTAAGTCAATGCTTAGCATGATGATCAGGGATTTGTCCATGTGATTCACACTAATGCTAATGGGAATCATGTAGCTTAATAATAAATAATAATAATAATAATGATAATCACTCTGAAAATTAGTTACCCCAGGCTGCCAAATTTATGCTGAGCTAAATTTTATTGCTGAGTTCTAAAAATAGAGGTTAATAATGTTAGTGCTGACAGAGCACTGCAACAGATAGAGCAGCTGTAGTATCTGGGACCCTAGCAGAGTGTGAAATGGGTGCCTGAGTGTGAACCTTTGTGCCTTTCAAAATCTGCCCCAAGGTACTATTCAGTGTCAGTAAGGGCTTATTTAGACACAATATTTATAGCAATTTAACTATATTGGTTTAGAAACCAATCCAGTTAAATTGGGGCAACTCTTCAGTGTGTGCAGTTATACATGTATAAAGGTGCTTATAAATAAGCCATACTGATATAAGTACCTTTATGCCAGCATCCCTGTGTCCACATTAGGGGGTTACACCACTTCCACTGTATCAATTTCTAAACAGATATAGTTAAATTGGTACAAACACTGAGTGCAGACCAGCCCTAAAGGTGGCAGCATCTAGCTTTATTTAGGATAGCCATTTTCTCCCCCAAGATGTAAAAGTGGCAACGACAACGAAGAATGGAATCTATTTTGGGTGGTGCAGGTTTTTGGTTTTGTTGATGTACATGTATACAACAAATAGTAGTTTGGTTTGGTTGGTTGACTTTTAGTTTTTGGTTTTACATTTTATTAAAAATTATGCATTTTAAAATAGTTTAACTGTGTATTCAATTTTCCTTGCATTTAAAAACAATTTCTACAAAAGAGAATAAAAAACCTAGCCATTTATCTTCTCACATCATTTAAGCAACTTTTTTTTCTATACATGATGTACCTAATGTGATGAGATACACAAACAGGAGACAACTGTAGCCAATAAATACCTTTTTTAAGTCTGGTGAGCAGAAAACACTCCACTATGGAAAAAAAATGAAAGGAAAGTTAATAAACACCAAGTTTAAGCAGGTACCCAGATGCTAGTGAACTCTCCCTTCCCTACCACATCCAACTGAGTGTAGTCATAGTTACAGCTGGTAAGGGGACAGGAAAAAGAATGAGACTGACAGCCCTTTCCTCCTACTTAGCCAAATTCTGCCCTCACTGGGATGACGCCCGTGACTCTATAGAGTTAATACCAGCACAGTAAAGATCTTGGGATTGACTGGAACAAGCCCTGGCACTGCAGTTGTTCACAGGATCAGGCAATCTGGTTTGGAAGCTATGGAGCCCTGTGCTGGGCAACTATAAAGCTATCATTATGTGAATACTGGAGGCCGGGGAGGCTCAAAAAATGAATGGCGTGAGGTTAAACAATCTGTTGAATGGTTTGGCTTCTCATAAAGGGGTGCAAAATAAAAATTCCTTTTCATTTTGCAACATTTCAAGTTGTGATTATTATTATTTTTTGAAGTCTTAAAATGTACCACTAGTGAAAGGTGCTAGAGTGAGACCCCCGGAGAACTGAATTCCCTTATTGAGCCACAGAACAAAGGTGCTGGGGCAATGGCAATGAATGTTTCCTGACGCTACCCAGCCAACGTTCCTGGATTGGGATGAACCCTCCCTGTAGGTGACAGGACAGAAGAGTACAATATCTCTCAGAAATCTACCAGCAATTTGTTTGGCTAAAAAGGCTTTTTGCAATTATTATAAAAGGGAAAGAAGAGAGGGAGGGAAAACAGGAACATTTCTATGGCAGAATGTAACTCAGATGCTGATGAACAGGTGACCTAACTCTCACCTCCCCTGTTCAAAACAACTTCTAAAGCCAAGGATACATAAATCCCACTAGACATCAGGCAGACCAAACCAAAAGCTGCATTATAGCACACCAGCAGAAGTGTTTTGAAAGTCAAAGCTAGTGTGCAGAGTAACTCAGATGGCAAATGAAACCAGCAGCTCTGAAGAACACAGAAATATACCTTCTTCATGAATAATTTAAACACACCAGGTTAAAACACACTCAGGCAGACAGCATCTGATAAAAACTAGGGAACACACAAAAAACGGAATACCAGATTTGGGGCTTTATCATGGAGAATATAAGTACAAGATGAAGAACCTATAGCATACAAAAGATATCTGTACAGATGAAAACAATGTTTTGAGTGAGGTGTTTGCCAAAGACAGAATGGGCCAGTGGAGAAATAATATGCAACTAGGGAGATATTATGATAAGGTACAATAAACAGAATACCCTAGCTGTGGATGAAATAGAGGCAAGAATAATATTTTCATCTGGTAGAAAAAAATATAGCAGTCTGAGAAAGAATACAAGAAATGTATGCTGTTTATTCATGATGGTCATAGTACAAATGTTGAAGACAAATTAACTACCATAAAAATTAAAGTAATATAATGACATATGCTTAAAATTAGAAGTGAAACTAACACACTTATTCCACTGAACACATGGGAAAGATGATCTTGGGGCAGAGAAATGGAAGTTAAGTGATTTGGATTCTAATTCTGGGTCTGCAATGGATTTCCTGTAACCTTAGGAACTCGCTTTACCTCTTTGAGCTTTGGTTTCCCCAATCATAAAATGGGTGCAATGCTACCTACCTCAGAGGGATGCCATGAGACTTATTTATGCCTATCAATGCTTTTTGGAGGAATGGATTATATCTGTGCAGAGTATTATTGTCGGGCCTGATCAGGCAGACCTTACACCCCCTCATATCCCAACTTCAGTGGGAATTTAGGGTGCACAAGGAGGATAGAACTGTTTACCTAGGCCAGTGAAACTCCCGTTTCAATCCCAAATTATCTATTGAGTCAGATGAAATCTTACAATGGTTCTGGTCCAGATTTTGGCCAACACTCAGGCTCCTCCTGAAGCATGACACACTAAGGACTGAGTAGTCAAATTAAAGTTCAGCTCATGTCTGTCATCACAAGGTGATCTTAGTTCCTATACTAATATAGGATAGAAGGATATGTCCACCAATGGCTATTAGCCAGGATTGGCAGGGATGCAAAGCCATGCTCTGAAGTGTCCCTAGCCTCTATTTGCCAGAAGCTGGGAATGGGCGATGGAGGATGGATCACTTGATGATTCCCTGTTCTGTTCATTCCCTCTGAAGCACCTGGCATTGGCCACTGTCAGAAAACAGGATACTGGGCTAGATGGAGCATTGGTCTGACCGAGTTCTTATGTTCACACCACCTCGTCATTAAAATATAAGATCTAATTTCCATTTGCTGTAAAACATACATCAATATTACACCACTCTTACTGCTGGGGAAACTGCCCTTGTATCTATTCATCTATACTGCCACATACTGAAGGCAGGGGAAAAAACAGCAGACGAATTAAGTTTTTGACTGGCAGGAATTTTCCACATTGTGAATATTACAGGAAAAATGCTCCCACCATTTACCTAGAGGACAGAAAAAAGTTGATACTTGAGACTGTCAATGGGGATTTAGGTGTTCAGTTAAAAACAGTTGAAATATTACCAATGTCAGCATCAATGCAGGTTACCTTTATGTTACGGAGATTGGAAAGACCTATGTTGTTTTGATCCTATCACTGGAGCACAGACAAAACTTGATTCAGTCTAAGGGAATTTTGATTTTGAATGTGTTTGTGCATGTATGTTAAACCAATTTCTAAACCACTAGGGTGATACCTTCATGGGGGGAGGGCAGATTACCCCCACAGCTGCCTATTGTGAGGGTTTCTTGCCCCTTCCTCTGGAGCTTTCAGTGCTGGACACTGTAAGAGACAGAATGTTGGACTAGATGGAGCATGGGTCTAATCTAGTATGGTAATTCCTAAATTCCTGTGTTCTACACACATTCACATGCACATGTGCACACACACACAGATTATCTGTGGGAGCGGGAAATGCATATTTTAATCAAAGTTTGGTTGTGAATATAAATGACTCTAATAAAGCATAGGGTGATTCAAATCAGTTTCAGAATAGCTTGGAACACTTCGCATTGGCTGATTCTGTGACGCTACCCACAGAAGTACTGTAACCATTTTGATGGAGTCGGAACCAGAATCCAAAAGCGTTAATAAGTTAGAACTAAGAGTCTATCTGGAATGACTTTAGAAACTAAGATCCAGCCCACCCACACAGACATTCCACAAAATCTGTGGCTCAGGAACTGTGTAAAACCTGTTCCTAAACATCAGCAAAACAATTTTGCTACAGAGCTATTGGAAGTTGAGAAGTCTGGTTGGCATTTTTGGTTGGTTTTCTGCACAGAGTTCCATAGGAGAGCCAAACTGCTGCGTGACCTTAACTGTAAGTGAACAGCACTTCTTGCAAGTAATAATATATATTTCCCTCTAGTTAGCAAGGGGTCTTGGCTTGGCTTCAAGGAAGACCACAAGAGGCTAAGCATATTAAACCTGTCAGAAGGAGAAGGTAGTTGCATTTTTCCCATTATAGTCTTTGCCATTAGACTGAGACATCAGAATTGTATTGGCCCCCATATAGTGTGTAAAAGACCATATACTTTTAATAAACTTAAAAAAAGATGGTAGCAGGCTCAGTATTCTACATATTTGACTAGACAGAGCTTGCCTCCCTCTTCCTTATACAGTCATAACGCTGTGAATCTGGGAGAGATGCGCAGGGTCATTATCTCTAGGTTGAACTTTGACAAAATCCTCTGCTTTTACTCCAGACGTAAAGCTGTCTTACTTATTGTCTGACCGTGAATAAGCTATAAGCAATTTCAGGGCGTTTCCTTCAATTTTCTCCAGGAGAGGCACCCCACTGGGGCATGTCACACTGGATTATAGCTGTCAGAATGGGTTATGTCAAGTGACATCCAGCACTTTAACAACAACTCTTCTCCTGATCAGGCAGACTACGAGAGTTCCCTCAGTCCTCGCTTTAAACAAAGAAAGCTTATCAGGAGCTACAAAACAGAAATCAATTCACCGACCTGAGCTAACATGACACATGCCAAGATCATAAGTGCCAGTAGGGAAATTTAAAAACTCCACCATCAATGCACTTGAGAAGTTCTGGAAAGACAGCATTTCCCAAGAATTTCGGTTGGCTTCAAGTTCTGCCTATTTGCTGTTGTTTTTTTGGGAGGGGAGATGTCTGAGGGAGGAAGAGAGGGAGGCTGTGAAGAGCTCTGAAGAGCAGTGCTGTTGCAGTTCTTCACTCTTCCCTAGGTATGGCACTGGAGTGCAGACAGCGGATTGACAAAACGAGAGAGATTAGCTCCTGACAAGAAAGGGTTTGCTCATGGCAATAAAATGAATACCGAAAGGTTTTACAGATGCTGGTATTCTGCAAAGTATTCCTATTTCAGGCTGTGCAGGTTCAATAATGAATTTTAAAACATTTTTATAGGCTTGTCATTTTTTAAACAGTTGTTGAACACTTCTGCAGTCACAGATATGGACCAGATCCTGCTACTCTTGTGCTGAGAAGTACCTCACTCCACAAGCAATCCTGCTGTGAATATGGGTAGCAGAATCAGGCCCTCAGTGAATCTCTCTAAAGCATTCTCAATCTTCCACAATAATGATTCAGGGAAAGCTATTCTTATATCTCGTATAACCTATCACTCATTTTATACTCTGTTGCCAGGTTCCCTCTGGCCCACACATTGCCTGCCTAGCCTGAGAGAGGGCTAGATTATACCATTCAGGCACAAGCCCTCACTGGAGGACGGGTCAAGCGGCAAAGTCTTACAAGAAAGTCCAGGAAGGATAGTGCCTCATTATGACACAGAAATCCCTCCCAGAACTCACCATCCCCAAGTGGGAGTGTGACCTTTGCACCATTCCTGAGGATATGGCAGAATGCTTTCCCCTCCACAACTGGCCATCATTCACTTTCTTTGCAGCAGGTAGCCCGCATCCAAGGGGGAGGTAAAAAAGAGCAGTTGCTGTACTACCGAAAACATCAGATACACAACTGCATGGGATAGTTAT